ATAGGCAACATGCGAAAAGAAAAAGAAAGACATGAGAAAAACATTGCTTTACAAACCTTAAGACTTAATAAACAAAAAATTGATATTTTGTCTATGAAAGCATTGTAATATTTACTGAGAAAAGGATGAAATCTAAGAGGATCTCTGTATCAAATGAAATATTCACCAAAGTTTGTTGAAACTAAAAGAAATTCATATATAGTTATATTTCCAAACACTAAGCTTCTGAATATATGTGTAAATTGGAAAGGTTATAAATCATAGGAAATTAGAACATTTGAAATAAAGACAAATATTTGTTGAGGTTTCCATTGTTACATTGGTCATGTTATGGGTTTGCCATTTGCAATTTCTTGATACAATTTGTATGATGTACTATATAATTAGTGGTTTCTTCCTGTCTATTAGTCAGAGCTGTCTTGGACTTCCACTGATCAGACTAACTCGTTCAGAAATCCAGAATTAGGCTTGTATGTTTATGAAAGTGTTGAGCTTCCGCTGACACTGACGGATGTGGACAGCCAAGAGGACTCTTCCTGTCCAATTCGTCTTCAGAAAGGTAAATGTTAAAAGTGGTTAAATCCTTTTAGACACTAACTTTATAAGTAAAGTTAAAAACCATGTTCTTATAGGTCTTTCTTAACCATTTGAATGCATAATTAAATTTTGGGTGGGTTCTCTAAAAAGTGTCAATCATCCAATTAAAAAAAAAATGAAATTTAGAGTTTGACCTTTCATGGTACTTTTTCAATATAAAAATCCACTAGTTGCGCTTTTGCTCAGTGATGTGTGTGGTACTAAGGTGGGAAATTCAAGGACATGTTAGTATTCTGATTGTCGCACTATGTGGAATAGGTTTTGTGACACTGTGGGGTAAATCTGCTTATTGCACCAAACGGCTATAAAAGTTAAGTCGGATAAATCCGATATTAACATCCTAAAGGTTAAAGCATCATTGTGTTAATTTCTGAGTAAGATTCATCAGAGTGAATCCATTCATGTGTTTGTAATGCTAATAAGTGTTGACGGATCTGATATTTTTAAAAGCCTATAAGTTTAAAATCTTCTTGCTTTTAAGAGTACAACCCTTTCTCATTCAGCATTGTGGGTAACATCACTACATAACAGTATGTTAGTGCTATATTTACCTTTTCCAACATGTACAAAATGTGTTAACAAGAACATGTATGGTAAAATTATAAAAGCATATTATTATGATATGATATTCAGTTATGAAACTATCATTTTGTTAATGCATTTTTAGAATGAATGCTCTATGAAGTATAGGGTGGGCCAGTAAAAACTTGACCAAAACATAGTTGCATCAGTTATGTGATACTTGCATGTGTGTGTGTGTGTGTGTGCACATGAGTGTATGTACATACATCATCACAAATATCCAGCATTGTCCTGAAAAATGCATTTTGGTCAATTTCCAAAGAATTCTTGATTTTTTTTTTAGTTGACCATATTTAACTTGTAGGTAGTTCAATTTTCAGGTCATCATATTTACTTCTCATTTCTGTTTTATGTATATTTAACTGAAACAATTTTTGGAACAGTTGTGTTTAATCTGTTAACTTCCAAGACATTATTACTGTTTTGGGCAAATACAAGTAATAGCATGTTTTCTATAATTCTTTTACTTTAGATCCTACAACGCACATAAGATATCACTGTAGTCACAATGCTGGTGTTCACTCAGTTGCTTTACCTCTAGTCTACCAACTGGAAAGATTTGCAGAAAAAGGTAAAATCTAAGTGTCTTGTACATGTGAATAAAATAGTTCCGGACTCACAGCCACAGTACTGTAGATGTTAAACTGTAAAACGCCTATGAAATTTGTGTATTAATACTTCTAATTAGTGAAAAGAGTGGCTGTTTAAGTAAAGATATACTTGTACCTGAATGACATTGATTTTCCTTTGTATGCCCACCCACCCAATGGCTCAGTGGTAAATTTGATGATGAGGAACCCACTTTTTAGAAAATAAAAGTTTAGAGACAGCTTGACTGGGTAATGAAGAAAACTTTATTATAAATGTACAATATTTTGACAAGATTGTCATCCTCAAGTATTTTACAGAGCCACATGAATAAGGCTCAGTGGTATGTTTGCAGGCTTACATTGCCAAATAATGGCTTTCGATACTCATGGTTGGTATATAGCACAGATAGACCACCATGTAGCTTTGTGCACAACAACAAACATCGTAAAATAACATAACCTCGAGTGTAGCAGTTAGAGAATAAAAAAAAGCCCAAGTAAATGGAACAAGCTGTCAGAAGTCTTGATATTCGAGAAACTAGTTTCAACACATTTGTGTGTCCTCTTCAGTTTCACGTTGTGAGACCGAGGAAGACGTGTTCATGAATGTGTGGAAACTAGTTTAATATCAAGACTTCTGACAGTGTGTTCTGTTTATTTTCGTTTTTCACTAACTGCTATACATAAAATTGTGTTCCTTTATTATTATGTTTTAATATGTATTACTTTAACATGGATTTTCAGTCTTATTAAATACTTGCTAAATATGATTATGAACTTAGTAATTATTGTGTTCTATTTAACCCACAAGAGGACAGCACAAGCGTTGTTCCTCTCCTGCAGGAGCAGGAGTGTATAGTGGAACACCTATTATGTACCCGACCCCTGCCCAGTAGCCCTTCAGCTCCAGTACTTGGATTAGCAGTTATGGCAAGCACAACAGGAGCATCACTGATCTGTCTGCTGTCTACTTGGGAATTTGTGATCCTGCCTCTTGTGTAAGTGTAAACCTCCAGAACCATTTTTTATGTGATTTACAGCATACTGCTTTTACTTGGGATTTAACTTGAATGTCAGGTTTATAAACAGTGTATCAAACATTGCTTATGAAGAATTCATAATAATAATGATGATGAAATAAAACATGTAAATAAAAATATTAAAAATAAGCATCATGGCATACGGCTCATTTTTAACTACTTAATTCAAGTATTTTGACCAGTAGTAAAGCTCCAATGTAAGAATTATCTAAATGGAATACACTAGTTATATATCAAACTATATATATATTCAATGTTACAGAGTAGGACATGAACATTTCTGAGTTTTCTTATAGATTAACAATGCTTTTAGCATAAAACAGTGCACATGAATTTTTTTATTCTATACGTGATGTAACGATTTATTGAAATCCCATTCTTAGTGGTTAATGTTCGTTTAAGTATAAACAACGTCACTTAGAATATAAACACTAGTTAAGGTCAGTTTTGGTATCAGATGTCTAGTAAAAGAAACTAATCATCAGAATTAATTATGTATATTTTAATAATCTTATGCAAAAAAAATTATCAATCAACTTTTTTTTTCTCATGATACAAATATAACCAGATGTCACTAGTGATAGAGAATATCAGCAGTACACTTGTGATATTATTAGGATGTGGTTTGGACTGTGGTGTGACTTATATCATTGGTAACTCACTACAAGTGATAAAATTGTTTTGACGCATAAAATGGTTTACAAATTGTTGCAATTGTTTGCATGAATATTTTTTAACCATCAGTTGAGGAAGCAAAGGTACTTCTGGTTTCCTTGGCTTATGTGATTGGAATATCTAGTTGAAATAAATTAATGTGACTTTTATTGTATTTTGAAATGGTAATTTTAAACTTCAATCCAAATTGACCTTACTAAATATTTCTTGTTACATTTTTTATCTTTGGTATTCGGCACAATTTAAAGATCATAGCACAGATCATTTCAAAGTATTGATTGCATTGGTAAAGTTGAAAACTATTCCAAGCTTTTTTAATTTGATATTGTTAAATTGACATTGTTTATGATTTCAGTATCTGTGTTAAATATTGAGATAGATTAGAGGCTTTTTTGTAAGTCACTCGGTATGGATGTGTTGTATGTACATGGAGCTTTATAGATAACCTGTCAGATTTAGCATGTATTTATTCATATGTGTTAGCTAGACCCAAAGAATGCTTCCCCCCCATCATTTTATAGCCTCCCTTTGGCTCGTTTGTAAGTCTGAGGGCTTATAATAATAAAAATCAGGTTTCAATACTTGCTTTGGGCACAGGGCAGATAGCCTACTGTACTTTGTGCTTAACAGCAAACTGTCATTTTCTAGGTTTCTGTCATTCTAAGATTAACACTCACAAGCCACCCTCTTTTGAATTTGAAATCTTTTGCATGTTACTCATTTTTGTGTGTGTGTGTGATTTTCATTCTTTGTTGTTTCAGTCGGGAATTGTCCTCATTTCTTTATGCAGCAGTTATGCAAAGCATGCATGGAACTGACCATACACCGAAGTCTTCACAATCAGCTGACCTGTTCCTGTTTGTTATATACTAGTAGATTTAACAGGTTATGTTCCTTTGTATCTCTCTCTCTCTCTCTCTTTATTTTATGTTGATTCTCCTGTGTCCTTTGAGTTGTACTCACAGGGTCTGTACATGATGAGCAGATTTTGGTACATTTGTACAGTCAGATTTATAGCTAGTAATGGATAATTATACTACTATATTTTGTATTCTAAAGAATGTGAGTAATTGATGGCCCATGAACAGTCTGTGTAAAATTTATTTTTTCTTTCCGTGATTTTGCACAATTCAAGTTGTAGATTATGATGGAACATATTAACATATGTTTTATATGAAACTTAATTCTCTTACAACATTTGATTAACCTTCAACAACAACCAGTGAGATGTATAGTTTGATCAACAGAACAAAGTGTCACTTAGATCTGTTATTTATCTTTATATAGTGATTTTCACTGACTTTGATGGTCAAAAATAACCTCTGTTATGAGAAAAGTAATCATACTGTTCATAGTGTCCTAAAGGCATCCTCACAGCATGTGGATACTTTTCATTTGCACCCCTTGGGTGATTGGTAGATAGTCCCTTTTTTGGTCTCTTCAATAAGGTCTTACAGATAATTATTTAATATTTCTTTTTTTTCTTTCTGTTATGGATTCATGTTTTTCTTTCTGGTGATGGCTTGGCAGTAAAGCATGCTTTAGCTGGAGATATTCTTCAAGGTTTAATTTCTGTTGTTGTTAATCATCATCCAGATGCATTCCAAAAACCATCAGATGAAGATTTGGGACTGGGAATGTGTTTCCCACCATTTCTCCACATCAATCTCAAGAAATTCTATATTGTCCGAAAAGTCTCACTTTATTTGCTCAATCAGCAATAAACACAAGTTCTGTGAGTTCAGTCTGATAACTTATTGAATAAGTGGTTTTAGATGATGTAGTCATTGACTCAATATAAATCACACAATTAATATACTCAGTACAAAGTCTCTCAATGGGTAGGTTGTAAGTTTAAGGACTTGTAATGCTACAGTCTGGGGTTCAGTTCCCTGAAGTGGACAAAGCAGATAGCCCAATGTGGCTTTGCTCTAAAATAAACTCATTAAAAGATATAAATAACGTTTTTCATCATATATATATATATATATATACTCGAAGAAAAACCTAAGCATTTGGCCTTTCACACTTATAATTTTTCTGAACTCTGCCAAATATTATGCTGAGTCAGTATTTACCATGATATAGTTATTGATTCAGTGCAGGTCACATAATTAACATAGTCACTATAGGATATTAGTAACTTTCTTTATCTTAACCTTACATACTTCAAGTGTAAGTATTTACCACACTAAAGAGATTTAAAACTTTTATCAGTTATCTCTATCTTTCCTCAAATTCTATGCTTACTTTTTATGTTATCTTTCCAATTTTAAGAGTTGGTCACCTTTGGGTTGTCTTCATCATAAACCTCCTTTCTAGTATGGCTGTTGGGCAGAGTCACTTTAACAAGGCATTTTAAATTCACTAGTGAATTAAAATAAATAGAACTTGTTCTATGGACGTCTAGCTGGAACTTGTTACATAATAAGAGGTAAACTTATATGTGTATGTAACTTACAGTGTTAAAACTAATTCATTCAGTATGTATTTTAGTTATTTATGGTATTAGATGTATTTGATATATAACATTAGTTTTCTTTAACTGTAATAACTACATTGCCCGAATGTGATAGGCATGGTACGTGAAGCTTAACATGTGACATTTCTGCTTCTATGCGTAGTACTTTACTAAGCAGGCTCAACCTTGTTAGGTGTTCTTGGGTTAAGAGCTAAAAATACCACTAACGGTGAGGATTCCCAACTGATGACCTAAAGCAGAGTGGTCATAGAGGCTTTTCGTGGTTTGACTGTCACTCATAATTATAGCTGGGTAATTGGTGTACTTTTCTACTTGGTTAGTCATCGAGCTCATTCATTGGTTGCATTCAACTGATTATACTCATATGAGACTTGGATAGTTGGAATAATCTTGAACACTAATTTCAGTTAGTTGATTATTTTTGTGAGTCATGGCCACAAACAATTAATCTGAACAACCTTGAATTAATTGAAAATAATAATGAGAAATTGTAATGGCATTATTTTGATTACTTGAATAGTTTTGATAATTAAATACAGTAATTCCAATTCATTGATTATTTTACATGACATTAATAAATGCTCATAGGTAATCAATTATGTTGATTATAATCAAGTTAAAAATTAATTAGTGATTAGACTTAGCTTATAACTAATTATATAGTAAACAACCAGATTAGCACATGCCTGTCTGTGACATATATTTCTAATATTTTGTTAATTTGTACAGTTTAGTCCAGCATTATAGGATGTTCTATTGATGGAACCATAAGTCAAATCAGATCATCAGTAGCGGGCAGCTATTACGACATTCACCGATATTCACAAATGAAAGAAAAAATAATAATAAGTTTATATATTTGCAGTCATTTTCATCTGGTGTTTCTATCATGTTTTGAAAAAGTCTCTTTCTTTCTTTCTTTTTTTTTTTTATATCGCATATCATATTAAGTTGGCAGCTATGATATTATTATTGGCATGTAAAAATTTACTTAAATCCTGTAATCATTGTCTGCTCTTTACCAATGTCAAATTTGTTTTCAAAGGACTTCATACCATACCAATATTCCATCTCTGCTGTCTTCTGAGCTAGGAGAAACCATCCTTTCTCCATTACATCGGCTTCATGGGGAGGGATTCAAGCAACACATTTACCAAATGCTGCAACGAACAACCTCTACTCCACTGCTGAAATATGCTCATCCTTCAGATGGAACAGAACCATCCCCTCAGCACTGTTTGGAAGTATTGGGCCGTACCACACAACACCTCAGAGAAGATTACATCCAGCGATTAGATGGAGTTCAAGTGATGATTGAACGCAGGTTAGTTATATCCTGTAGAAAATACTACAATGTTCTTGTTGGTCTGTCCTTGAACAGAGCTGGTATTATTTTATCATTTGTATGATTCACAGATTTTTTGATTTTTTTTATAGTTAAAATTAAATATTTCAATACTATGTGTTGAAACAAAGCTAAAAAAAACATGAACAGCAAAGTATCAACAATCACCAGTTAGCATGTGGACTCTCTACCTTAAAACTTGTAACCTAAAACAGGTAATTTCTTTTCCATGTATGCATGGTACTTCCAAAAAAGAAAAACCTGAGAACATTAGACACATATTAGTTGGCAAGTATAGGAGAGATAGAGGAGATCAAAGTATATACGGAAGGTCAGTTGTGCTTTATAAGAACAAAGTTCCAGGTCTGGTGCTGTACTTAGAACTATAGACTACTTTCTCCATTACAAACAGTCTTATAGCCATGATTACATGTTATTAACTGACACTGGAATGTCCATTGTAAAAAGATTCTGTAAAGAAAAGCATAGTTAATTTTACACCATACATCTTTACAGACATTCTACAAACTCTTCACTGTACGTGAATAGATGTATGCTTCCAAGACCACATTTAAGTAAATCAAGTGTATAGATGTCCATAAATGCATTGTCAGATGTACTAACAGGTATGTTGGAGAATATCATTCACTCTCTACGTGCAGACGTAGACGTGTGAGTTTGCGCTTTACTCTGACTTATCCATACCTTCTGTGCATCCAGGCTGTACAGTAAAAAAATTCCATTTTCATCTTTGCTTTACTGCACATCTTATAGCATTAATATTTTCCTTTATTTGAGAAGTCTGCAGCAACCATAAAGCCTGAAAGAATAATTTATTTACACCATGTACATTACTATATATGTTTTTTTTTACAAATCATTTTCAGCAGCAAATTACATTTTTGTGCACCATCTTTTGAATCTTGATGTTTCACTGTTTGAATATTCTATCTTAGAAATGACTGTGTCATTCTTCTCCAACCATAGGTTACCATAGTAGCATTGCACTGTTCATCAGAAATTCACTGTGAAATGAATGTCTAGGTGTTCACATCTGCAGAAAAACGCCTGTATTTTTAGAGAGTTTGATTAAACCAAGATAAATTATATGAATACAAGTTCCCAGTTATTCAGTTTGTTATATAGGAGTTTGATTAAACCTTCATAAACTTTATAAATATGAGCTCCTGGTTATTCATCTTATAATATAGTTCCCTAAATGTTATGTATTTTTTTTATGTAAAATTGTAGTGCAGAATAATAAGTCTGCACGTGAATTTATAGATACGTATGTCAGGCATAGGAATATATTCCGATTTGTAGTCATGTTCAGCTGTTATAGTAAATTTTGGTAAGCCGATAAACCACAATACAAATCATGTACATCATGTACAAATTTTCTGTTACCCCTCTCATAATAATCAGAAATCACTTCAAGTATATTACTATGCAAATGAAGCATATTATTTCCTCTTTTTTCCCTTTCTATTTACTTGGCCATTCATGTAGCAGGAATGTCTTCTTTTTTTTTAAATGGTCATCTTCAACTATCTTTCTTTTGACTGATCATTGATTGATGAGTCAATGGACCTACACTTTTATATATATCAACTAAATATAATATTTTAACTTGCGTATTGCAATTGCAAAATATGTATAAGGAATGCATTTAAATCTTTTCATGAACTACAACCATATTGTTGCAGATTGTCTCACTGAATGTTTTAACACCACTGTTATTTTCATAATCATGTTATGACCTTACAATGCTTAGTGTGTTTGAAGAGTAGAAAATTAACCTAAGAAAAAAAATTATTCAAAGGGAAAGTTATTTTCTGATATATTTATTTATTGTTCTACTTAAGTCTGTTGATTTACTTTATCGTGAAGTTTCTCAACCACAAATACAAGATCTGCTGAAGTTCGTTATTAAAGAAATTTGTTTAAAAAACTACAGAAATCAATAGTAGACTTATTATTATGTGAACTGTGCATTCAAGAATTACTAAATTTGTTTACTGTTGAATAACTTGAAACACCATCTGATGCTGTTATATTAACATGTGCTTCTACTCTGATATGTAATTGTTGTGCATGTTTTAGTTCTTACAGTGTCAGTGTTTAAACACACGTATATCTCTTAATTGCAACAAATTAGTAATCCAGTAGTTAGTTAAACAGTACATCCCAAAAAGCTATATCAATAGACTTGTTATCACATTTTAAATAAGTATGCATATTAACATATTCATATTAACAGCACTATGGATAGAAAATGAAAATATTCAACCTTGATATGCAAGTCTGAATGGACAACCTTCCTAGAAAGGATTAGGTCCACACAATGTTTTGTATTTGTCTTCATCATGTCTACCTGAAGAGGGTAAAAGTACAAAAATATCATCCCGTACCTAATCGTTTCCAGGTAGTGGAATAAAAGGACAGTCTACCTGGAATAAAAGGACAGTGATAGACTGTCCTTTTATTCAAGGTAGACTGTCCTTTTATTCCAGATAGACTGTCCTTTTAGAAATGCAAATCATGGATCAACCTCTGCCAAAGAAATGTATTAAGTATTCAGCTCTCTCTAATATTGGCGATAATACAAGTCACCGATTTTGCATCACTAGCTCCATCTTCAACCAGCATAACATTTTTACATTATATTGTGAAATGCTGCCCGATCAATTGTCCACACCCCCAAAATATAAATGTTTAATGTGATTAATAATGCAAAGTGTTGGAAAACAAAATTACAAACTCATAACTCTTCAAGACCTTTATCACAATTCATGTTTAACTTGTCAATAAGTTATTCTTTTTGATATTTAATCAAGATTTGAGTAGTATTACCTAGATATTTCACAAATAATAGCTATATTTACACTTTAAATTAAATACTTGCATAAATAATTTAATCTTCTAAAAATAGGTCTCATTAGGCAGTTTTAATTTTTCCTTTACATAGATTTAGATGCGTTTTATATAAAACTGTTTTCAGTCAAATGAACTTGATTTTTTTCCCCCCTACTATTATAACAATTCATTTAGCCAAGACATTTACCTAAAAATGTGTGGCTCCTGGAGCTTCTTAGAAAAGTTTTATAACAAATTAAAAATGCATGTAAAATTCTTAACTTTATGCAATATAACATAAACCATGTGTCAACTACGGTGCCTTTAATGAACTATTTTCAGTTACTTTTTTTATCAAGCATTACGTACATTTATGTTGGTCATTCATGAAGCTTGGTTGAACTGAATTTTTATAGGGTTAGAGCACTTAAAAACCAGAAAGATCAACAGTTTGTAGATATAGAGCAGTGTTTAAAAGAAAAAGAGATGTTGTGCCATGAAGCTGAAAGACTGGCAGAAAAATATGACGATACATATACACGGCAGCAAGAACTGGTTCTAAGGTAAGAGGAACCAAAGAGTCAGAATAAGTAGATATACAGCAAAATATAAATCATGCTAAATTACATGTTGTTGTTTTTTTGTAAATACATTAGTGTTTTAAAGATTTTTGCCATTTTTAATAACATTTTAAAATAAAACTCCATAAAGTGCACAGTTCCCTCTTTAATAATAATATTCTAACCAAGAATTTATATTTTAAAAACTCACTGTATTACAATACTTTTTTTTTCTTGGACCTTATGCTGGGAATTTAAAGCAAAAAAAAAATTTTTTTCGTTTAAAATATTTATTAAAAAGTTATATGTATTAGTCTAGGATATAGTTTATGAGAAATTTCTTCAGTCTTTCTCACTGTCAGTATAGCATGAACTACAAGAGTCGAATAGTTAATCATGAAGTTTGAGATGTTTTAATCTGCTATAAAATAATTGTTTAATTATTAGAATGGGTACATAAATTATCTAGGCATGAGAATTTTCAAGTTTTTGCCAGATTTATGTTTTATTTGGCAACTCCGTCAATCTTGACATTCCTCTAAATTCAAGGAGATAATTTTTTGATAAATGGTGTAATATATAGTATTATAACAAATGTAGTAATAAGTAAAGTATAGATGTAGCTTACTGGTTCCTCATATTATTAAAGTAAAATACACCAACCGGTAGCATAGCCAGCCCTAAATATTTGTGCAAGCCCAGTAGCTTATACTTTGTAAATTTAACACAATTTGCTTTATCCTCTCTGATTTTTTGTTTGCAAACATGTATATACAGGCCTATGTGGATGTTACACTTCTACCTGCAGCTGATTTAGTAACTTGTTAATAGCTCCAGGAATTACATTGATAGCTAATGGTGTGACGTAGCACAACTGCCAACATCAGTTGAAAATACAAGTGTCATATCGAATAATCAGCAGACTTGTTTAGCATTGCTTTGTATATAAATGAACCACATACAGACCAGTGAATTGCTCGTGAACAAGACTATTGCAAGTAGCATTTGGGTTGTAAGAGCAAAAACGTATTGGTCCAATGCATGTTTGTCAGATTTAACACTAAAAAGATATCAAAACGTAGAATTTTTCCAGAGAATTTGTCAAAGTAGTCAAGTTTACAGTGAACCTTGCATGCTTTTTTATATGTTATTTGTATAGAAAATAAGCTGCACATGTATAATTATCGAGATATTAGATCTAACATTAAGATTATACCATGTGTCAAATTCAGCATTCCTGTTATCATTCACCTAGGCCTAATGTTAAATTACAATACCATTAAGGCAGGCTTTTTAATGTCCGATTAAGTAGCTTGTTACTATTAACAATTCATGGTTTTATAAAATCAGTTAACATTTCTGAATTTATGTGGTTGCCAATTATTAGAAGGTACTGATTAATATTAGGAAGCAAGTAAATTATTAGTACAGTACTTGGATGGCTAAGTTTTACATTATTTCACTAGTAGCCCCTATGATAGCCAGAGTTTCAACTGTTGTTTTTTTATAAATGCTTGTGAGGCTTTACATGTTTAAAAAAATTAGCATAATATCATAATTACGATTACAAAAATATATTCAAATGTGCAGGTATCTGAAAATATAATTGCTCTTCAAGAGATATCCTGTTTGAAATTAACAATTAAACCCCCCTCCCAACATAAAATTCCCCAGGTTTAATATGGTAATACTAACAGTGATTGGTTATCCACTAAATGGAATACTGTTACTACTCTCCATTCTCTGAAATGAGTTGTAAATTTAGATAATGCATTTTTGTAGAATAGAGCAAGTGCTACAGCAGCTCCACAAACGGCTTCCTGTCTTGTCAGATGCAGAAGTCGGTATGAAACAAGAACTCCTATCCTGTGAAGAAAAACTGAAATGTTTCCATAATTCCCTGGAGCACATCCACATCAAGCAAAAGTATCAGGCTGACCAGATTATTGCCAGTAAACATAAAGCAGGCCCTGAGTTTATGGACAGAGGCTCTTCAGCAGATGTTGATCAGTTGCAGCTTAAAAAACTAACAGAGGTGCTAAAGCAGCAGTAAGTAGCTTGGGAAACTTCCCAAAACAAGTTCTACCATACTATTTTTATTGATAGCCATAAGACTTAAGATATAAAAAATATTTTGGGACTTAAATTTTATTATTTTTTATTCTTTGCCTGTTCCTAAAATAGAATTTAAATGTTAATATTATCCAAATTTTTAGTCTGGCTTCATTATATCTACTATTTCTATAAGGCATCTCTAAAGCTATTAGAATTCTTCACCAATAAACATGATTTTTGGGGTAATTAACAAAAGAAGATTTATATAAAGAAATATATTTATATAACAGTATGAAATATAGGTTGATGGTAACCATGAGCTTTTATGTGTGTCATATAACTGTGGGAAAATAATTTGTTAAATATGAATAGTTTGTGAATTTTAGCTTAAATAAGTTAATGCTAAACTTCAGTGGAGCTACTTTTGTTTTTGATTTTTGTTAAGAGATTAAAGAATCTCTTTCTTCCTGGATGAATATAACTAGTTTATGTATGCTTAAGTATGTGAGAAGTAAGTCACATTCACAGTTTTTTTACTGTTGGAATATGATTATTTTTTGTTCGTATTTCATGGTTTTAATAACACTTCAGTTTCTCCAGAAATGTTACTTTTTCTTTTTACAGTTCTCATTCTTTGACTATAGGGACTACAATAATATATCCATTGTCACATAATCCCTGTGACTGACTGAATTTGTTTGGCAGTTGGTAAACACACTTCCATGTATAAAATACACTTCACTGAATAAATCGCAGTGTGTTTTGACAAGTTTATTTAAGTACTATTTTTTTGTTGAATTTCACAAAAAAACTACTAGGCTGTTTGAAGTCTATTTATGCAAGCTGTCCCTAATTTGGAAGTAATAGGCTAGAAAGAAGGCAGCTAGTCAACACCATCCACTGCCAACTCTTTGGCTACTCCAAGTGGGCTTGACAGTCACATTGCCCCACGGCTGAAAGGGCAGTCATGACCCACAGATTGCAAGTCAATCACCTTAATCATCAGGCCATGCCAGGCCCGATTTAAGTATTAAATTGAGATGAATTTGACTTAGAGATAATACATCATTTTTGGTTTTGCATGTTTGTAGTTTTTGATTGACTTATTTTCATCATAATTTTAGAAAATGCCTCTTCATTAATCCATTTTCTTTTTATTCATAGTAGACAAATAAGATTTATGTTTTTTTGGTATTAAGTTACCATGACTTCTTGCTTTTTTTTTCTATGGGTAGATTTCTTACACATTTAAAAGCTTAAAGAATGGATTCATTAAATAAGGCATTGTGAATTTATTTGTGTATAATCACTGTGGATATATTTTGTAATGAATTTTAAAAGATTATTTGCCGGATATTATTCAGATAGTTTCTCAGTATGAAATAATATTGTGAGACAAAAACAACTGTGTTCTAAATGTTTGGAGTATGACATTACCATTAGTCTTAAGTTCATTCTGTTAAATATTGATCATTTTTGCTGTTATCTTTAATTTAGTTGAATACAGACAGTAAATATTTTTCTCTTGTGAATAGAGAATGATTTTTCATAATTGAATATAATTTAAACATGGTTCAAGAAGCCCCAATATCTAATCAAGTTCATGTTGTTTTAATTACAATTAAGTGACTATCTTTTGTTCTTTACTAAGTTTTGGTTACCTTTCTGTTTGTTTTTTTTTTCTTATTTGGAAGCTACAATTTTATTCAAATTTGCTAGATAGGAATATCTCAGAATTTAAAAGTAATTTGGTAAGTTTTTAGCTAGGATTATGATTTTTTTGTTGTTGTTTTGTTTGGTCAAAGAATTGTTAGACTTTTCCTTTATTTAACTGATTTTAAATAATTCAAATATAGCATCATAAGTTTAGTTTATTTGGCTAAGTTTTATATTATTTCTTTTATGTTTCACTTTTGAAAAAAAAACAACTAATTTGTCCTTTTATTTAATCTCCTGAAAGCTTTTACTATAACAATTAGTATGAACTGATGGAGTCTAAATGTTTACTTTAAATGTTCATAATTCTAGTGACTACCACCTTGGAATTAGTCTGGATAACATAAAGTACAGTTATATTGTTTCCTTGAAAAGAATATTACTTCTCATTGTGTGTGGCTCTGCAAGAATAATTATGTTGTATATATACAAAGCAATGTTTGAAATTGCTTAAAACAGCAGATATTATAATATTCTTATACAAGCATTATTGATGAAATTGATGTATCTGAAAGTATGTGTTTTCTACCTGCAAGTCTGATAATCTTAGGACAAATATGCAGTAAATTGTTTGATATGAGAACAAATAAGTTCAGGCAAGCAAGTGGCAGAAATGACCTCCTATGGTTTCTGTCGTACTCCATTTGTAAGTGTTTGACATGGTAAACTAATGACAGCATTGTGATCTCATGTTTTCTGAGGTAACTATGTTAGCATACTGATAAATGAAAACATAGTCATAACTTAGTTATTTATAATGTTGTAAAATTGATGTATTTACTTATAGTAATTTGTATTGCCATGTTGACTTAACAGTATTTGTGGTTCAAAATTATATATATATATATATATTATTTTATTTTTTTTTTTTTTTTTTTGTTAGTTATTAGAGACTGTAAATATAAAGTTTAGAGATGACTTGAATGGGTAGTGAAATAAACTGTACTACAATTTAAAACATTTCAACAAGCTCATGTCATTATCGGTACTTGTATCTGATGATGACATAAGCTTGTTGAAACGTTGTACATTTGAATAAAGTTTATTTCACTACCTATTCAAGCCATCTCCAGACTTTACTTTCTAAAAAGTGGGTTCCTTGTCATCAAATCAGACTGTAGATATAACACTGAAATTACTTGCAAAGGTCACAAACATTTTCTTTTATGTTGTTCGTTTTTCTAAAACCTGACATTTTTTGTAATAACTTGAAGAAATAGTTACTGTTGAATTTTTTAGGGCTTGAAAATGGTTTTCTAAATTGTATATATGAGCATATCAAGCTAATTTATAATCATACTTTTTTTACTCATTTCTTAAATTTTTGTTTCTTTACAGAGGGAACTCCATTGCTGATCTGATCATGAAAATTAAAAGTTTGAAAAAACAAGTTGGAGTGTAATTTTTAAAAATAGAATAATTATTTCTTTTTGAAGAGAAAATTGTTAAATTTGTGTCAAAATATTAGATGTATTTTTATTAATTTTTTTTTTTCAGATAATTTGTGGAAGATGAAATATGTTTATCTGTGAATTAAAAATATTCAAATGCATCATGGTTTATAACTTGTTTTCAATTGTGGGCTGTAATAAACTATTACATTTATACTTAATCAACTTTGTAATAAAGGATATGGATCTTTGCTTTGCTCAGCACAAACTAGTTCCACATTATCATTATTATATATTTTTTAAACATAAGTTGAGATCTTGCAATAGTAACTCCCATATACACACACACACACACACAGAGAACACTCCCAAGAATACAAATCGACCACCTGCATGACATCATAAGCAAATAATTCTTACTCAGTAAAGACCAAGAATATAAACAGCCATCTCTCAAATGATAGGATCCTGGAGCTTAACTGTATTTTTACGAGGTCACATAGTTGGATGATGGGTAGCCAGTCAAAAGTCCGCAAGAAAATGCCAGCTTACCTGCAGTACTGCTATCCAGTTTGTGAATGGTCCAGGCATCGAAAACCAACAGAACACATTCTTCGTACTGTATGGAAAATGACCAAAATCAAATAGCTGCTAAAGTTCCAGCACCATCAGAAACAATTTTCTTAGCATGGACTACTATTGCTGAGTAACTAGAAGGAAGCCAATCCTCGCTCCAGACAATATCTAACATCAATAGCAGTAAACATCACAGATACTATCACACCTCTTTGCCTTTTCGGACATTAGTTCTTTCTGCTGAGCAATATTTGTACAATTCTCAGGAAGTTGATGAACATGAGTTTGGTGACTGTCTACCCAAGAACTTTTGTTGAACCATCTGAAAGCCATGATAAAATAAAGCAGTATTTATGTTATGGTGTGGGTAGGTGTGCACTTTTGGCAGCTAATGGTATGCAAATTGACAACCACAGTTCTCAACCAAGGCCTTCTACTTGTCTACATTAAAAACCCGGTTGTAGTGTCCTAATTCTAAATACTTACCAGTGAACTTACTTCATTGCCTTGAATAACACACGCTTGCTCAGAGGAATAACATTATAGAATCTTCATATTGCATGTTATTTTACTTATCTAAATCCACCCACACACACACACCCAGTGGCTCACTGGTGAGCTTGAGGACTTGTAACGCTAAAGATCATTAATCATGATTATTAATCATGTTATTCATCATTGCCTTAAATAACACATGCTTGTTCAGAGGAATAACATTATAGAATCTTCATATAATGTACAGATATGGAGAGATAAAAATCAAGGTAGATACACATAATGACATCTTCAGATCTCTACTAAAGGAACTTTCTTTCGTTCAGTGCACTCATCAGTTTGATTATTTTTTGTGAATATGTTTACATTGTGTTCAGTCACTTTCTTTCTTAAGCTCGGTCAAAGTCAGGGCTCATATTTACTTCATAATTCACTACCTTATCAAATTTCATGTTATCTGCTGATACTGTCTGAAAGGTAAATTGGTATATCAGAGAATACCGTACTGGCACAGCATTAGGAAGATAAATTGATATTAAATGTCACTTCATGTATGATTAAAACACAAACATTAGATATTGCATGTTATTTTACTTATCTAAATCCACCCACACACACACACCCAGTGGCTCACTGGTGAGCTTGAGGACTTGTAACGCTAAAGATTGGGGTTCGATACTTGCATTGGGCACAGAACAGATAACCATTGTGTTTAATATCAAAGAAACAAAAACTATTTAAATTATATTAAAACTAGTAAAATTTACTGTTCTAAATATAAAAAAACTCACTTTGAAGTTATCCACTTGTTAAACACACTATTCGCATGGAGAATTCAAAAAGTTGTATTAACACAAAGCATCTGATACACAGTAAAGTCAAGAAAGTTCAAATATCTACTAACAATTCAACGTTGTGCCCATGTATTGTTAATGGCACATACCATGTGACACTAAGCCCATGATTTTCCAAACCAGCCAACGATAACATTAAGTACAAGTTGACTGTCAAGTTTGCAGTCAGATCCCATTTAAGATCTAATGGTTTAGAGTGTTGCAGCAGCCCATTGCCAACCTTCCCAAATCTGTTATAGTGTTGGCCTGAAATGTTCAAATGTCTGATAGTTCTATCTGACAACAGGATATGACCAACAACTGTTATGGTATGAATTACATAAAGTTGGTGAAATGTATTTTTATCAAATTTATACGAATCCTGTGTAAAAGAATTAGCACGCATTTGTGATTTCTGGACATCTAGTCAACGTGAATGTGATTAACTACATGCAGATTACGTGAAATAGACTCGAATAAAGTTATACTCTAAACTAATGGAAGAGTGAAATTAATAGCTGTTCCAGCTATGGCACGTATAACTTACAACTACAACTCCTTCGAAATGAACGAATTTGTTCAACATCCTTCATAACTAATTTAATTTCATTAAAAGTCCTTGTGTTGATTGCTGGCCCAAATCCAAGCTAATGTATTTGGATCTGCAGTTTATTTTAATTGTAAATCTCTATTGTTTTCATTCTCTTTCTGCGTCACTGTTACTATATTTTTGATGGGAGAAATTATATACTTTAAAAATCACTGGATAAAATAATTTTCTTTGGTTCTAGCATTACAATATTTGGAAAAATACGTATATATACCAGACATGTAAGCTTAAAAATATTTATATGCACATATATTTGTTCTATGTAAATGCAAAACATATTTGATATGAAAAGCTAGAGCTACGTGATAAATATTGTTGTAATACCATCTTCCGTTGTGTGGGTTCTTCCATTACGGGTTGGGTGAAATCCACCCAGCTCGTAACCAGGAAAGTATCTATGAGAGTAACTGTACTATAATTTTTGAAAATGGAGGCAAGTCTTTACAACATTTTGCAGATTATTAGTAAACATTACAAGGATTTCATACACAAAATATCTGGTTTTTGAATTATGTTTTAATATATTTTTATTAAAGATTTACTCGTGAATTTTTTCTTTCAGAATGTTGACTATCAAGTACAAAGTAATTTTGAGGTTAAAAATACTTTTCTTTATCTGAAATTTGTCAAGTTTCATGTTCGTAATCCTTATGTCTTTCTAGATAATCATCAAACGTTTCTTAAATAAAATTTTATATTTAATCTGTTATTTTATCAATATTAACTCTATATGTTGTTGATCGATTTGATCAACCTCGTAACCATCTTAAAAATTGAGAAATAAATATAAATTACCTTTTTTGTTCTAGAATAACTGCAAATTGTAATAGGAAACCACAAATGTTTATTCTAAATAGCTTAAATCTCTTAACAGTATAAATCTATTTATATTTATTAATTTTTGTTTTATTGACCTTTGAACCGTGTCTGACTAAAAATACCCCTACAGAAGTTGAAATTACACGACGCACGTGCATCGACGTGACCCTATGGAACAGCGTAATGCAAAAGCTTCTGGCGTGTATATCCCATGAAGGTTTTTTATTATTTTTCTTTCATTATATTATCTAACAAATTATAAAAAAAATCTTGTGATTAAATACCAAATATTTTTATTTTCAGTAAAGCTTTGTATTTTGTTTGTTATTTTTTGTACTGTAAGTGTAACATTATACTTATTTCTCCAGGTTGTAGATAAGTAATCAAAGTATAACGAAAATAAAGGTTGCGAAATAAACTGTATAGTATTGTTAGTAATGATTACAAAATTTCAAAGTACTTATGGTCAGAGTTTACGCTCTCACCTTTTCACATTTATTTTCTGTATTGATTAAATTGCTAGTAGATGAGTTAGAAGGAACAAAATGAATAGTTCTTTGTTCTTTTCAGTATGGACAGTAAAGTTCCAAGTAAACCTCCTGAGAGTTTCTTCTAATCTTTTTACACCTATTTCCTATTGATATTCTACTGTTAAAGGCTGAATTAGAAACCTGCAGAATATTAAGCAATGGATCATTGTTCTTGTTTAGGTGTTACCGTACTTTGACACCATCAATATCAAATAAGTTCATGCGGCACAATTCCCAGAATTTTCCCTGCTTTGGAAACACGGTGGGATAAGATATATCAACTTGTTGACAGTATAATAGTTACAACGACAATTGTCTAAAGTATTATAAAATGTTTATGTTATTACTTATCTGGGCCGATCCAATAAGTCAAAAAGCAGAAGTATCCTACAGAAACTATTAGGATCACTGCTCTGAGAACACAGTTGGATAGAATTTGCCGGCTTCTTTACAATACAGTGGTTGCAATAAGAATTGTCTAAAGTACTTAATAAAAGTGAGAGAAAATATTTATGATATGACTCTGAACAAAGTGTGGCCAGGTGGTTAGGGCGCTCAACTCACATTCTGAGGGTCGTGGGTTCGAATCCCCGTCCCACCAAATATTCTCGCCCTTTCAGCCGTGGAGGCGTTATAATGTGACGGTCAATCCCATTATTCGTTGTTAAAAGAGTAGCCCAAGAGTTGGCGGTGGGTGGTGATGACTAGCTGCCTTCCCTCTAGTCTTACACTGCTAAATTAGGGACGGCTAGCGCAGATAGCCCTCGTGTAGCTTTGCACGAAATTCAGAAACAAACTGAACAAAGTATAAAGTTGTATCCTATCCAATAAACTTGCTAGTCATCTTACTTAGTGGTCGGGATTTAGTATCACTTTCCGAGTTGTACGATACCTTCTTTCTGCAGCATTCATTGTTTTGCTATATTATGAAATCACACATATGTTATATTTGTGACAACATTGCTTCCATGACAAAATCACTGGCACCTGTGTCTAAAATTAGTGGAGCTTCAATAATTGAATGTGCTAATACAGAAGTAATGGTCAAATTTTTCTTTATTTTGTTGAACTTTTGTTCACAATCAGCAGTCCAACAAAACTTATTTGGCATTTCGAGTAATTTGTGTAGAGGATGAGCTATGTCAGAGAATGATGTTGCAAAAAAATGAGAGTAAGAAATCCTCTTACCTCATGTGGGGTCTTTGATGTTGACTTATTCTGAACAGATTCAATCTTGGTTGGGTCTAAAGACACTCCTTCTCCGTTGACTATATTTCCCAAGAAACTCACCTGTTACTGGAACAATTAATTCTTCTTGGGTTCAGGTTCTCATTCCTCAACCAATCCAGAACTTTCCTTAGCCCATCACAAGCATTATCAAATATCTTCTCACATAGATGAGTATGACGTTGAATGATAGTTCAGACAGAGCACAATCCATTAACATTATTCAAATAGTAACATGACAAATTGCCACAGTCTATTTCCTGCAGTAAAGGCTACCTTCTCTTTAGTTGCTTTGTCGATTTGCCATGCCATTGTCCACTCTTAAGGTCTAATGCTGAAAAACATTTTGATCCAGATGGAGCATTAAAAGTAGTCAGTACATGGCAATGGATATAGATCATTCTTTGTGATTTTATTCACCTTCCATAAATCCAAGCAGAACCTTGTGGATTCATCCTTCTTCACAAATACAACATATGATCCCCAAGGACTAGTACTCATTTCTATTATTTTTCGTTCCTTCATGGTTTCTATCTTTTTGAAAACCTCAGCCTGACTAATTGATATATTGGGACTACATTTCCAGCATTATACTTGTGAGATATTTTATTTGTTTGGCCTAAGTCATGAAGTCCATTGGAGAAAGCATCTTGATATTTTATGAGCAAGTTACATAATCTCTGGCACAAATAGCTGTAATACCTCCATAGCTCCAGTCATTCAGCTATTGTAAGTGAAGTTGTATGCTGTCCCTATGTGAAGGTTTGACGTTTTCTCAAATGTGGTAATTCTGCTATTCTTTGATGTGAAAGTGCTACCTGTACAACCTCACATCTTGCAATGTCCCATCCAGATTTGACCAGAATTTTATGGTTTGCTGTGTTCATGACCATAATAATGACTTCTTTATTCTTGATATCCATGAAAGTTCTTCCAATCATTAATCATTCAGGACATGTTCGAGTGTTTGGTTCTACTAAACCCCAGTCACTGGATGTAAATTTAATCCTAATAACTTTTGGTATGAGTATTTCACTTGTTGGTGGTACCATTACTGGCCTCGTTGTTGTCACTGAAAGGTCAACCTCTGATGTAATAATTTCCATGTAGTGCACAGATATTTCCTGGTCATACACTATAAAGCCAACCTAACCTCACATCTACGTGTTTTCATTAAGTCAGTCCCCAATTTGCATTCTTCTTCAGTGTTAATTGGTCTGTTAACAGCTGTTGATTCCATACAGCCTTGTCTATTCTATGTTACTAGTTGTTTAACCAATCCTTTCAGTTCTTCTAGACTATTGTCAGGGGGAGTTTCTGTTTCAATACTACTCAAGCTGATGATTCTGTAACTTCAAAATTGTATATTTAGTTGTTTATACGTGACTTTAATTAAATCTAGTTCCATTGCCAACAAAATATACATCTACTTTGCTTCTGTCTAATTCTCATATCCTCGTCTGTTATGGCATCTATAAATTGGTCATATGCCAAAAATCCATCATTTCATGTAAAATAACCGGGCAAGCTTATCCAATTTTCTGCAAGTTTGGCTAAGGTTTCTTCTTTCCTCTGTACCTCATTTCAGAACTTTGCTCTGGATACTTCTTTTGGTGTGTCACTCTGAATCTGTTGGATAAAGCAGCTACCAATGCTTGATAATTGTTATGGCTCTCACACTGGAAGACTACTCAATGTCATTAAACCTGGTTCTTTTAAATGAACAACAAGATGAATAGTTTGTTGTTCACTATTCCATCTGTTCACAATGGAAATTATTGTGAAATGAGCCTGAGTTGCCTTTCATGACACAGTCTATCAGTTCTCAATTGGGTAGTGTTGTTAAATTGGCCAACAAAATTCTGGAACTAAATTTCGTAGTGGCATGGTTGAAATAGTCCAGGAAGGTCATGCAGTAGTAGATGGCACAACAGTAGTAGTAGTAATAAGTGTAGACCAAATATAAATTCTCCTATTCCATATTTTGTAGTACATGGTGTTTTAGGTTGGAATTCTTGAGCAGATGCAGAAAGAGGTGTGGCTAGTTTAATCTTTTTGTTCATCAATTCGTTTTCCAGGTGTTTTATTCTGTTGATGATGTTATTTACTACCTCAATGATTGTCTCCCGGTAGCACAGCATTATGTCTGTGGACTTACAATGCTAGAAACCGAGTTTCGATACCTGTGGTGGGCAGAGCACAGATAGCCCATTGTGTAGCTTTTTGCTTGACTACAAACAAACGAACAAACCTCAATGATCTGTTTTGTACTTCTTGAATTTAGTCATTACAACTGTCATGTACTTCATTGTTGTCTTTCTGTACTTCTTCAGTCTTATTGTTGTAATCCGTCTATACATCTCCAATTGCTTCACCAGTCTTGTTTTCAATCACATTTTATTCTTAGTTCTTCTTTAAATATTCCATCTCTTTCTTTTAGTACCTCTCTTAAAATCCTGTATGATTCTTTTAATTTTGTTGCCTCTTTCTTCTTGATCCCCTTTTAATTTTCTATCTGTTCCTTCTTTTTCTTAATTTAATTTTCTTTATCTCCTTTTTTTGTTCTTTTAATTTTCTGGCTCTTTCTTCTCGACTCTCTATCATAGCTTCGATCTCATTTCTAGATCTGGTTACCATGTTGTAACTTGAACAAAAGTTCTATTTTAATTTCTGATTACACCAAAATAATCCCACGTCTTATATAAGTGTTACAACGTGTTCTTTCGTTGGGCGGATTCTTTAAATTATTTGGTGAAAATAATGCCAAGTCCATCTAACAGTAACAAATTTCATCCTTAGCGTTTGCCACAGGCTACTACATCTGTACACATTTGTAGGCCTAAGTTCACTAACAACGTTTTCACTTTGAACAGAAATGTACTCGCTAACAGTACTACGATTAACATACAAATAACCTTACTTGTACAATTTCATTGGTAATCGATCAAATAGCTGAATATACTCAATAACTAAAATTTATCTGTATACTTCACTAACTTTTCAATTACTGAACGAACTGAAAACCATGTTTTCATAACTGTATCTTTGTTTCTCGATATTTCGCAAAGTTTCTCATTTATTACATCATCATTATTAGAAACTTCCTCTAGCTAACATCTAAATTAAATCATTGAAAATATAGATTACCACAATGTCATTTTGATTACCCAACTGTTCCATATCAGCATTGGTAAAATCTACGTAAGTAGGGGTAAGGTGGTTGTTGTATTACTTTACGTTAACGTTTCAAATGTACTAACAACATTTTTCATTTCATTTTGTAATTAAAATGCAAAAATTAACAAATGCATATATTATTTTAATAAGCAGTTACATATTGCTTTTTTTTTTGTAATTTCCAGTAGTATTTAATACAATAATTTGTTTAATTATATAGAAAATAGTCTAAACTCTAAATCTATTGTAATGTAACTGATGGATGCTATGCTCTTCTACTATTACTATTACTGGGAGTAATTAGACTGATATTCTAAAACTAGATCTTGGAGACTAAACGTGCTTTTGTAATAACTACGTAGATAGAAAAATTGTTATTCCAGTTCATATTTTTGTTGCATTACACTTAAACTTTATTATCAGATGCCAGCTCTTGTGTGGGTATTGAACAACTGCTACGTTACCGGTTACTCCAACGAGTTCAAGGAAACTAGGGCTAAGACTAAGATACCATTTCATCGCATTAACACTTGACATAAAATTAAAAGTAGAACTAGAAGGAGATTTTAAAATTTTTTCCTGTCATAACTTAATTACAATTGAAGCATCTAGACTTTAATATTTTTAGGTAATACTTAGTCAATTCAGAATTGAACCGATTTATTGAAAATATTAAAGCGAGGCACTCAGTGGCAGCCAGTCCAAAATATTTATATTATTGTTAATGCCAGATTGACAAAAAAAAAAAAAAAAAAAAACAGTGCAAAAACGAACAACGTTACATTTGAGCTCAGTTATTCGTTAGGCCTAACATTTCTTGTAGTGGCACTGCCATTAGTAATAGTTGCAATATATTAGAGGGCCTAAAATTGCTTAGTTAAACTACCATTTAAGTTTTCACTTGGCTGTGTTAATTGTTTTTAAGATTTAGAATAATAGATCGAACTTGATCCATTTGTGAATTACTTGTCTTCATGATATAGGCCTAACAATAGACTCCAGTAGTAACATTTATAGTTACAGTTATACTATAGTGTAATTTATACTATAAAATATATATATACTGAAGGCTTTGTTTAGCCTTGGGTATTCATACCCGTAGGTAACAATTAAAGTAGACAGTATAAATTTACTATTGTGAATAAAACCTATATTTAGGGTCAAAATTTTAGAAATTGGTCAAGTTAACAATTTGCATTGACTCATAACAAAAGAGAAAAGGTTGATTAGTAGATAAAAGTGTTCACCTTTCAAATGTATAATATTCCAAATTTTGTAAAACATTCAACCCAAAGTGGTATAGGCCTGGTCTTAAATCAACCATGTTATATAAGAACACTTTTTGAACAGTGGCTAAATCTTAGGATTAGTTTTCAACATTAAAAACTAAAAATCCAAAAATATACATCTCGGTATCTACCACTGTTACTGAGAGAAAAGGCAAAAGGAAGTAAAACAAAGAGGCAGCTTTAGTCAACACTGTATATGTGATGAAAATATTTATTTGAACTTCTTTAGATTTCATGAAATACATTGTTGACTGGTTGAGTATAGATTCCTTTAGAAGCTTTCTTGTTTGTGCAACATTCTGCAAACCTAATATTTGCTAAAGGTTTTTTGCAGAGAAATCTATATTACATAATTGTACTGTGTTTTGCTTATCATTTTGAAACAAGACTAAAATTATCAAACGTTAGAAAGGAAAGAATTGCTTGTTTCATCAGACTTAGAAATAAACATAATTTTGATCAGACTGCATTCCACCATGAATAGCAATACAAAGAAGAAGAATAGGGCAAATACCATTAGGTAAGTGTAAAAGTTTTTATCTAAGAACAATATGCAAATCCAAAGGTGGCAAAGTTATTAATTATTAGTTGTCATAAACCTCCCCAACAGTGATTCAAATTTACAATTTATTCATATTCATTAGTATAAAGTATTCACACTGCTGTGGGGTTCATGATTTACAAGTGCTTCAATGTACCAATCAACTTCTCCAGTTACAAATCCTGTTAGGACATCACTTGTGGTACCTGAGCATGTGTACCACATTTAGTTCTGCCAGCGTATGAGTGGGGGATATGAACACAGTTTCAAACATGGTGTCCCTGGGATCCCAAGTTGGGCCAGGAACACAAAATGTTATGTGAGATTCGGGTTCAGTAATCCTGGAAAAAGTATTACTATAGCCCTATCATGCTGGATGACTTTACAGCAGACATGTTTCAGCCCCTTTTGTAGGGGACTACATCATACAGATAGGGGCAGCCCTCTAGAGCACCCTAAGCCTGCCTGTTACGTTCGGTCATATATATATATGACCAAACTTAATAGAAAAGACTTACAAAACTTAAGACCAGATTTAAGGGGAATTGAGCAAAATATATATTCTTTTCAACATTTGCCATTTTTGTGTGATTTGACTAAAATTATGTAATAAAGTTTCTTGTACCTGCATATAAAAGTGTGTTCTTTTTGGGCAAACTGTGTTGTCGACCATTAAAAATAAGCCAACTTGGTCAAAATATGATGAAATTATTAGGCAGATCCAAATCTAAACAGTATTTTCACAAAAATATTAAGTGAAAAAATGGTTCTATAAAATTTGGAGAAATTAACGTTAAATGTTAAATATTAAAATTATCTGAAATAGAATGAAAACAGCTATGTGTGGAGCCTTATAAATCATGTATGCAATTGGAGCAAACCTCAAACTTTTAATTAATATCAAGATAACAAACTTAAAAAAAAAATGAGCTGAGCTTCAAGTATGTTATTTCCTAGTCAAGAATAAAGGATGAAAATCCCAGGCAAACAACACAGAGTAAAAAATTAAATACACATACAGTAAAAGGAAAGATATATAAATAAATTAGGTTAAGGAATTTAACTCAAAAGTATGGGTAGACAAAATTGATTTAAAATTTATTTCAAAATATTTCTTTTGCAGTGTCATATTTAAAATGCAATTTATTTTTATTTAGAAAATACAAAAGGATATATCTGACTCTCAGAATGAAAATCTGAACACTGGTTAAGAAATGTGTTGAGAATGATAGTATAAATATATTTACTTTTATTGTGATTTAATAAAAAAAAATTAATAAAATTGGGTATAAAGAAAAAAACTTTGATTGGGCTTTGTAAGCATAACTATTTTATGCAATTACCAAAGCAAACTTTTAATATTTTTAAGCCCTGAAACACTTAAGATTATACTGTACTAAAATTTAAAAGTAAGTTCATAAGTTGTTGGCTTCAATTTTCATATTGAATAATCAGCTTGAAGAAATTTCCCATATAAAAGTAAGAAGTTAAAAGCATTTAAATAAAAACAACAACAAAATCCAGTGAAAAACAAAACTGTGTGCTAAGAGTGAGTTTGAGCCACAAGAATCCAACAAATCTACTTAATTGATTGCTAAACAGTTTCCAATCAAAAGTGTATCAGAAAGACAATACTTAGCTTTATTGACTATGACTTTGTTTTGTTGTGTGTTTTTTTTTGTCTTTGAAAAAGTACTTCATGGATTTATTTCTAAATGTGTGTTTCTGAAATACTGGTGTATACAGTATGTTTTAGAAAGTGCTTCCAAAATTTTAATACAAAGATGTATTAGTAATAGGTTTCAGAGGTAAGTACTGTATCTAGTTTGTACTTTATGTCTTTCATCCATTCAGTGAAGTGCTGCTGTTGTATGCCTTTTTTTTTATGTTGTTTGAAAACTAAACTATTTCTGTTTTACAGTAAACCTGTTAGACCAAAAGGATCACAAGAAAAGTATGTTACGGTAAGTTTAACACCAGTTTGATGTGTGCTGAATTAATTGGTGTTTTTACAGCTATTTTTACAATATTTAAAGAAAAATACATTTGTGAAATAATTTATGGTAACAAACCTAGTCCATTGTGATGTATAAAAGGCAACCAAGCCTTGGTATTTTATTATATAATTTTAAATCATACATCTTAAAGTTTAACTGATTATATGTAATTGAATTTTTTTTGTGTTTGCTCTGTTTTGAAGAATTTTCTTTTGGAATTATCATTAAAAGAATATTTAATAAAAAAATGTATTTTAAGTGCGTATATAATGGTAACTACTTTTCCTTCTCTGTTTCTCTAAGTTTAATGCAGTAATTTTCTTCTGTATTGAAAAAAACTTTTACAATCAGTTTCAGGTATCAAAAACTATATTTTTATAGAAATGCTGATTTAGACATTGTTGTATTCTAGTTTGTATTAAGTTAGTGAGATAAATTACTGGAATAAGGTATAATTTTTTTCTAGCTAAGTTGGTCATTATAAACGTGCCTTTGCACTTAAAGGTTAATTACTGAACGAGCCACAGTATTATTTGTAAAACATCAAAACATTGAATGAAATAACCACTATTTCTAAACTTCAATAAACTGCAGTGTGAAAGATTTTGAGATATTTTAAAATGTAGAAATAAGAGGATTAGTTTTTATATGATTCAAAAGTTACCATTTTAATGGTAAATGGCTTGTTTTTTATACAGCTTAATTCATATAATTTAGAAACTTGTACAAATGAATTATTTCCCCACCTTGTCTGTTGGGCAAGTTGAAAACAACAGTTGCCTGAAAGAACCTTCTACTTGCCTTTCTGCCCATTGGCCTATTTTTTTCTAAGTCTACATACTCCAAGACCTGATTGCAATTTATGTATTAAATTTTGAAGATACCTAACTATAATTAATGGAATAGTCAAGTACTGTACTTGAAAATTACAGCATAAAAAACCCAGTTTCAGTCTGTTTTTTATCATCTCATTCATATCATTTGAATATTAAGCCACGAAACACTGGTAAACTGACAAACAATAGTTTATAAGCATAATGAAAATTATTTTATCCAGAGAAGATGCTACATGTTTCAACAGAACACTGATCTGTCTAAGAAAAATAATTTTCATTATGCTTATTACTCATTGTTTGTCAATTTACTGTTGTATTAGCATAATGTGCTTCCATAAACATGTATGATATATTTACATAAATATAGACAGATTAGTTTACAGTCATGTTTTTATAATGCAAAAAAAAAACTGTTTAGAGAACATAGAAAATGGTAAATTAAAACTTATGTCAGCTGTATGTCTTTTAAGATATACTTTAAAAAAGACCAATGAAAAGTATTGACTAATTTATTATTTTAAACAAAATTAGCAAGTCAGGTATAATGTCATAGTACATACTCAACAAGAAATAGATAATGCACTTGATAAAATGGGAAGACTTGGCTGTTAAAATATCTTTACGTTACACATATATATATATTAATGAATCATTCCATTTTAGCAGAAGCTGATGGTTAAAGGCTTTTATTCTTGTTTTGCACATTAAAGAATTTCCTAGTGAGGTATTAAGATAACTGAGTTTCTCATGCACAAACATGTTTCCTGTACCTCTCATTTAACCCATTATTTTTGCCATGAACAAACATTATTCCTACACTTTTATTAGTTTACATGGACTATTTTGAACTTTCACTTTCATATAATATCGGGTTATGCCACAGCAATATATTTTGTAATACATACTTTGCTCAAAGCTAAAAGGGGGAGGGCAAATTTCCTTTCTAGGTTGTAAACATTATAAGAAATCGAACTGTCTGTCCGAGTTTATTAATCACTTGTGTATATTTTTTTAACTTGGAAGATTATTGTTCTTATGAAATTTAAAAGTGAGTATCAGATCTTCCTCAAACATTTTACATTGATGGCAGTAACTTTGTGTTGGATGTTAATTTCTTATAAAGCAATGGCCAGTTTAACACTGATATACGATCTAAAACAATTAGATCAGAAGGTTATGCTATGACTTATGCTTTTATTTTGTTCAGTTTTCAAAATGTATTTTTAATTAAGGGTTTCATTAAATGTGAAAAGTAAAAAGCTAACTCGTGACTTTCACTGCAGTTAGTATGAGTGGGTAATGTTATTAGATAGTGTCCCACAAGAATAGGGTTAAATTGATTCTGCTGTTTATTTTAGATTGTTTTGAGTGTTTTTAACAGTGGATTATTATTGATTGGTTACAAATTCATAAAAACTTTAAAATAAATCTGATAAATATAATTTGTTATCTAATGTAAAAAAATAATAGGTTTTGGGTATGTAATATAATTTTAAACAGTTTCACTTATTTATTTTTTTAGATTGAAGGTGTATATAATAATGCAAGATTTATGCATGGTGCTGCTTCCCTTGTGGTAAGTTCCTGTTTACACTTCTGAACCTCATGCTTTGCTGGGTAAGGAATTCAAGGGTATAGTCTCACAAAATTTACTTTTGTTTCTAATTTTCATTTTGCACTAAAGGAACATACTTTAATCACAGAGAAAAACTTTATAATAATTAGTGATAAAAAAAACCTTGATGTAGGCCTTTCATATAATTCCACATCCCCATCATTTAAATTTTTTCTAATTATATTTACTTTTGTTATTTTGAAAATGAGAAACAAATGTTTTATTAAACATGGTTTTGTATTGTATTATTAAATCTTTATTGGTGTCTGCTTTTAAATTGACCACTTGTTTATATATAACAAAATAATATGAAAAAACTACACATATCAGCTCATTTAATGCTTATATCTTACTAATAACATTGTTTCATTCACCCAGATAATTGGTGTATTTTGTTTTTGGTGCCTATAATTAAGACTGTTTTTTAATTATTCTCACAATTATATCTATTTGGAACAGTTGTTTTGAACCATACTGTATGTCATATATGTGAAAAGAGTTCAGAAAAACAGTAAGTATTATTATCTACGGGATTTTTTAACATTTATATAATCAGTAAGTATTCTATTTTCATAAGGGTCATTAATTGATATAAAAAATTGAATTTGAATGTTAAATAAGTACTTGAAGGATAGTCAAACTACATCTGAACATACAACTATAGGTGTATACATTATATTGCTGTTAAATGTAGAATTTCTTGTGAAACTTGCACAAGTTCTTGACTGAATTTCTAGTTTAAAGTAATATATTTCTCATTTTGTTACCTCATTATTACAGGGTTGCATTGTACAAGTTCAGGTTAAAGATGGAAACTTAATTGAGGGAGTTTTCAAGACATTTTCTCCAAAGGTAAAAACATTGTTTTTAAATGATATTTGTTCTTTTTGTGAAGAGAAAAATGAAAATAGTATTTGGTAGTAGCAATTGATTGATTTACATAGAAAAAATTTACAATGAATGACTTTACATAAAATACTGTCATATTTCTCAAAAAATTATTAAATAGTAATGTTTAATGTAATAAAACAGTAGAGTTGAAGCTGTTTTCTGAAATGTCTACTGTCTTCTTTTAGTTTTGTCTGTTTAAAAATGTATTTCAACTGGAGCTGAATGGTTGATGGTATTTGCTAATTGATTAATCAATTAGTACAGCATTCCTGACATCATGGTACGCCTTCCCCTCTTTGCGATGCTCAATTTCCAAACAATATTTTAAAAAACAGGAAAGGTTGGGTGAATGGTTAACAATATTCAAAAATCTGATAATTACTGCATTATTCTAACATAACATTATCTTCCTATTTTCTTTTGTTTTTTAAATAATATTTGAATTTTTCTTTTTTTTTTAACTGTGATAGGCATTATTTGGCATTTGTGAATTTTTGCAGAAGAAATTGTTTTTGTCTAAAAAAAATAGTTTGCCAAAAGCTTTTGACACAAGTTTTTTTAATGATGATGTACACATTTACTTCTTGGCAAATCACTAATGTCAACTAGAAGTGACCACACAGTCATCATTTTGCATGTTTTTCAAATATGCAGTACTCCCCCATTCATCTTGTGTAAATCAAATAAATTAGTTATTTAATAATGAAAGTATGTTTTACTATCATTGATAATGGTAATAATGTTTTTATTTAACCCTTATGGACATGGGGTAGGGGTCAGAGAGCATGTCATCACGTTTATAGATTTATATTCAAAATGTTATTTAACAATTATTTTATAAATTTATGTCAATAAGTTTGGCATCAACTTCTATATTATAATTCAAATTTTAGTATTATACATTAGTTAATTTCTTAATCTGAAAGTAAACATGAAAAAAAAGGGGCTAAATGTTGATTTTTGTATGGTACATGGTCTTCTGAGTTTGGTCAGATTACATTTTATGATAACCAAAATACGTCTATAGTTCCTTACATATTAGAAACTCAAATTTCTGATATTGGCAAGCTAGAATATAGAATAAGAACCTTATAACTTTTCTATTTGCTGAGATATCTCAATATTTAGTGAATTCATCATATAGACTCTGCTCACTACTTCATCATTGGTGAAGACTTGTTTATCTACTTGTACTTTTGTATACCAATAACCTTATAACCAATTGAAAGCTCTACATTTCTTCTATGTAATTCATCACTCTTCCTAAGTTATTTATGAGAGAAAAACTTGTATCAATCAAGACTATATACTTAACAGAAATTGGATTTTTTTAGACCCAAGTACAATTTAGTTAGGAAGCCTGGTAAATTACAGTGGACTTTTGGAGTATCGGTATAGGAATTTATAATTTTTTGGTGTTCCAAAATGCATATATAAAGTCTGCAAACATTTTTTTTTTCTTCATCTTTACATGTGAATTTGGACGAGGCTTACAACAAGGGTTAGCAAGTATGACTCACGAGTGCAAAAAAAAGAACTTTATGACATTGTAAGTAGTAGAGATCATTGTTTTCCAAATATTTTTTATTTACTGTTCTATGTTTTAAGAATAATAACTGACATTGAAGTATTTATTTGAAAATGATAATATTTATATATACATATGTAATGTATGGTAACCACAATATTACTGTATTTTATAAAATACTGGTACACTAGTGCTATGAATAAGAGATTTATACTTTGTTTTATTATAGATGAGTATAATTGTTTATTGAACTTGTGTTATTTTTCTACTCGTTTACATTGAAGTAGAATAAAAACAAATTATGCAAAACTAAAGACTTGGTAATTCAGGAAAAGTTTATTTATGTAATTTGAAAAAGATGGAATGGCTTATATAAGTCAATGAAATAAATTTATCAATGATAAAGTGATCTTAACACCATTATTAAAAATAAGAAAACAATGGAGAAATTTTAGAAGATATTAGTGTACATTCAAACAAAAATAATCACTGAGTAATTTGTTTCTAAATTGATAAGCAAGAAAGCTAAGCCAAAATTACTAGCTTAACCGAAATGGGCCATATTTATATTACTGGAAACTATGCATTTATTGGTTACTGTGTAAGCATGGTAATATAGGAAACAGGATGTTCATAAGCACTTACACACTTTTAGACCTATACTAACACTAAATCCAGACCATCCAGGAGGTGAACTAACATCCAAATACTTAACAAGTTTATTGGATTGAATATAGATTTAAACAGAACCATATCATGAATATTGTCTAATTCTTGTTGTAACCAGGGTACTGTAAAGGAGTCAATAAATTCTACCCCACTGTGTTCTCAGAGCCGGGATTCAAATAGACTCTGTAGGAAATGTCATATTATAGATTTATTGGATCGGCCCAGATTTTCTACAAAGTCATAATATAAACATATTATAATACTTTAGACAATTGTCGTTGAAACCATTATACTGTCAACAAGTTGATAAATCCTACACAACTGTGTTTTCAAAGTAGGGAAAGTTCTGGGAATTGTGCCACATGAGCTTATTTGATATTGACAGTGTCCAACTGAGTAAGGAGTGGTGATTCATTCATATTCAGCAGGTTTCTACTTCAGTCGCTAACAGTAGAATAAACATAGGAAATAGGTGTGAAAAAATGAGAAGAATCTCTCAGGAATTTTACTTTGGAATTGAGGGATCCATACTGAAAAAGACAGACATTTTGTTTCTTCAAGTTTCTAAGTCAGCTCCTGACAATAACATTACTACAGAAAATAAGTGTGGGAAGTATAAACTCTGACCTTAAGTCCTTTGAAACTTTATGATCAAAACGAACAGTACTGTACATTTTATACTGCACTTTGTAACCTTTATTTTATTTATACTTTGATTACTTGTCTTACAACCAGGAGAATGAAGTATAATGTTACAGTAGAGAAAAATACAGTTTATTAAAATTACTTCACTAAAAATTTGATTTTTTATATGTAAAAGACTTGTAATGTTTACTGAAAGTCTGCCAAATTTTCTGAAGATACACTTACTATATTAAAGGTTAGTAGTATCAAAACTACAACAACCTTAAACAAGGGCAAAGTGGTCATGTAGTCAGTCAAATCGACTGAGCCTGTGTGGAAAGGATTAAAACATATCATGATTGAAATTAGAAATAATTAAGTAGCAAGTTAACAAATAAGGATTTGAGTCATCAGAATATTTTGCCTTTCCCTAGGTAATCATAAAACTTAAATAAGCTTGTCAGATTTTATGACAATTTGACTAGTTGGAAATAATAAATAAACCTTCACGTTTACAACCATTCTAAAAAGTAGTATATCTCTTAAAAACATTGTAATATTAAACAAAGAACCAAAAATCAAGTTATCTAATGTCTTCTCATCAAAAAAAATTTCTTTAACTTTTAAACATACATATTTCAACATACAGACGTTTTCACAATTCACAAACAAAAATAGTATTAACATGATGGTCTGATTCATGCTCTATCCTAGTATATTTAAACTATGTAGCTGTTTTCAAAGCTGTATTTTATTAGTAAATGAATAATCAATTATGTGACATCATAAAAAGGTTACAAAAATCAAAGCAGAAAAAGAAATGGATAATATACACTCCAGAAGTGATAGGTTTTTAGCAAATATAATGTTCTTCTTTGGGATGGATAGAAAAATTAAAAGAAGAAATTAGTAAGCGTATTGTTTATAGGTAAATCTCCTCAGAAATATGAAAAAAATAAAAATTTCAAAATATTTCTTTATGATTACACTATCTAAATGTTATAAAATGACAATATATCATTTAAAAAAATAATTGAGTTAAAATTTTTTAAAAGAGTTAGAATTAACATATAAAATTGACTTAAAAATTTGTGATGATAAAATTCATTTGGTGAGCAAACTGACACCTTGTATAGGCCTATGACCAAAACTAGTTGTTGTTTTTTTAAGTCTTTGATTTGTGAGGTTTTTAAGGGAATAAAGTATATTAAATTAATATAAAAAGTTTGAAAATATGTTGCTTAAGTGATGTTGTACCTCATGACATTGTATCTAAACGAGAAAAACAGTAAATATAACAGTGACTAGGGATATTACTAATTAAAAATTCATCAAAGAGGTAGTAAAAGATAAAAAACTTATCCTACACAGTTGACATACAACATTTCACACAGGTGCCCCTCCTCATGTAAGAGTTGCTAATCGGTATACTGAGTAATGTTTGATTGTGTTCAGTTTTTAGATGTAAGAAGGGCCTGCATGACAACAGTACAATTAATGAGAGCCCATATGACAGCAATACACAAGTTACATAAATGAAAATAGACAAAAAAAAACAATGTAAATGAAGTATGTAAATTACTATAGTCGTATACATACATGCATACACATAAATAACATGTATATGGTAATCAAATTAAAATTTTAAAATATTATGCAACAAAATTCTGTATGGTTGTACGGATAGAAGTGTATATGCATAGATTCACAGATATACACAAAACAAACATATTGTTACGCCTCCAGTCGTTAGTTAATTTTCCGTAAATTAGTTCCGACGAAACTTTAGCGACACAAGTCCTTTCTTAAATAAAACTGGTTTATTCTTTCTGAATATAACTTTGCGATACACTTAATTTCAACAGTCGCTCTACAACAAACGCTATAACTCACGTGGCCAACAATATTTTATCCGCATACATTCAATTACTCATTGCACTCTTGTCCTGTCACGTTGTGAATGTCTTCTATATATACAAGACTAACACATATCTAGTAAATGCTAGGGCATTCTTGAAGGAACAAAATATTTCTAGAAAACAGGTGGCGTGATACTAGTCATGTGACCTCGCTGATGCAACAATATGTTTATACAAAAAAAGAGAGGTTTTTTTTTATTGTAAAAACTTAAAATATTAAGATATAACTTTTATCCAGTGCATGTATAGAAGGTGAGATCACATAAAGGTAACAGGCTGGTTGATATTGTTTAACTTGATGGTTCCAACATCATTTTATTTTGTAGAAACTCTTGTTTTTGTTTGTTTGTAGGGGCATTAGTTAAGGCTACAGTCTTGAAATGTTCAAGGGTATGGTCATGGGAGTAGGTAGAGTTTAACTTAAGCTTAGTTTTTGGGATCAAGTTCATGATTTTGTATGAACACAACTAGGTCCGGCATGGCCAAGTGGTTCGGAAGCTTGACTCGCAATCTGTGGGTTCGAGTCCTTGTCCCATCAAACATGCTCGCCCTTTCAGCCGTGGGGGTGTTAAAATGTGATGGTCAATCCCACTATTCCTTGGTAAAGGAGTTGCTCAAGAGTTGGTGGTGGGTGGTGATGATGAGCTGCCTTCCCTCTAGTCTTACACTGCTAAATTAAGGAAGGGCTAGTGCAGATAGCTTTGCGAGAAATTCAAAACGAGCAAACAAACACAACTATATGGAGCCGATCAACCACATCGTACTGATCAAAAAGTACACAACTATGTTTATATAATGAAGCACATGGATACTTGTTGATGCATTTTCACTGTACAAGAGACCAGTAAATGTGCTACTTTCACTTAAGGTTAAAGGTAGAGGGAAGCAAGGTTATCATGGATATAAAGTTAGTCATTATTTGTTACACAATAATATTCTAGTGTGAAGTGAATGAACAATATTTTAAAACAGTAAGATGCTGATTCCACATTTTCAATATTCTAACCTTATTACGTGTTACTTGCAACTGCATATTAGGCCAAAAAATGGAACAGTAATAAGTTTGGTTATGGTAACATTTCCAGGAAATACAAGGGTAGGTAAGTAGGAT